GGCAGCCGCCACCCGGAGCAGGTGGTCCTCGTCAGCGGCCACCTCGACTCCTGGGACGTCGGCCAGGGGGCGATGGACGACGGCGCCGGGGCGTTCATCAGCTGGCGGGCGCTGTCGGTGGTAAAACAGCTCGGTCTGGTGCCGAAGCGAACCCTGCGCTCCGTCCTCTGGACCGCCGAGGAGATGGGCCTGCTGGGGGCGAAGGAGTACGCCAAGGTACGGGAGAGACAAAGAGCACAAAAAACTTCTTTTTGGCTAATTTCGAATCCTGTTTTCTCTCTCCTTCTCTAGCGCCACCAGAAGAGCCTGCGAAACATCAGCATCGCCCTCGAATCGGACGAGGGCACCTTCGAGCCGATCGGCCTCTCCTACTCCGGCCTCAATCACACCGCCCACTGCGTCCTCCATTCGATTCTGCAGATGGTCGGCGGCGAGGGCAGTCCTCTGTTGCCCAACTCCAGCCAACTTTCACTTCGCCTGGACGGCTCCGATGTGACTGTATTGGCTCGGGTGGCGAGTGTGCCGGTGGCCAGCCTGGACAACGCCAATGAGCGGTACTTCTACTACCACCACACGCAGGGTGACACGATGTCCGTGCTGGACAGCGGCGAGCTGGACCGCTGTACGGCCTTCTGGGCGGCGGTCAGCTACGCACTGGCCGCTCTTGAGGATCCGCTTCCTCTGTAGAGTTTGATTTTATGTTTACTTTTTCATGTATTTTTTTTGTTTGTTTGAATACTTCAAGTGTGTAAGGTGTAGTTTCCGGCCGATGATCCCCTGAGGATGGTTGGGATTGGGATGAACCTACTACTTTAACTGTGTTTGTTTAGAAGCGAGCAGGCAATCAATCAGTGGATTGTGCTGTTCGATTTATATTTAATGTAATAATAAGGCGTCTTGTTTTAAATTTAATTAGAGGAAGAGGTGAATGCTCTTCAGAAGAATGTTACCAGTATAACTGCTAAGATGCTTTGCTAAAACCGATACCACTGTTCAAACTGCAATCTTGAAGCTGAACGACGACGTCGACGACGACAACATCGACGAGAGAATCTGGAGGCAGCGGACTTGTTTGCCGCCGACTTCAAGGTCTGCTTCTTCTTCTTCTTTCTTGTGCCACTAGTGGAGGTGGAAGGTTCACTATCTCCTCCACTTTTACCGCGGTTCAGCTCACTGTTGGGATTGTTGACGGCGTTGTCGAGGTAGGAGCAGCCACAGACGACGGCCAGCACCATCAGAATAACAAAGATGACGCCCCCATATTGAAGAGTACAAACATAGGCTGCATTTGCAGGAAGCCCCTGGGCAAGTTCACCGTTCACCGGAAAGACATTGCCGAGGTTTTGCTGCCAAAAAAGTGTTGTCAAAGAAACGGAAAGGTGATAGACAAGATTAAATCAACTGCTATCAACTGCACTCTGTTAATTACCTACATTTAAGCTCTTCAGGTAGCTGCCTTGGTTGTAGCCCTGTCGGATGGCCAGTCCACCAGCGGCAATGGCGCCGGCGCCCAGGACCCACTTTTTGCTGAAGAGGTTTTTGCCGGGCACTCGGGCCAGTCGCCTCAAAATGGCTGTCCGGCTGCAGATAATCAAGAAAGGGGAAAACATTTGGGTAGAAAGAAGGTACCAGTTGGCGAATTGGCCAAACACTAGGGACAGAAAAGTTGGCGTGCCCAAGCTTGAGTCGACTATGTGCACTGCACAAAGCTTTGTTCATTTGTTTCCCCATCATCATTTTTTTCAGTGTCTAAAACGACACTCATCACTAACAACCACGTGACTGTATTATAAAAAAAACATTGCAATTTCACACATTTTGATAAGAAGTGTCCAGATGCTGAGATGCTGCTTTGCTGCTTTCAAACGCAGATTCCTCCTCTGTAGAAGCTGCTTGCTGCTGCTCAAGCTGAATGACGACGTCGACCAGAGGATCGGGACTTGTTTCGGGAGGTGCCTCCAGTGCTGGTGGAAGGCTCATTACCTTCTCCTCCTCCTCTTCCACCTTTACCTTTTCCACCTCCACCAGCTCTGATCAAGTTGAACTGGTTCAGCTCATTGTGGGGATTGTTGACAGCGTTGTAGAGGACGTAGCAGCCACAGCAGGCGCACAGCAGCACCAGAAGGGCGAAGATGACGCCCCCAAAGAGAAGACTACCACTACCATCGGCGGCATTTGAATTAGGTGATGGTGAGAGCAGAAGCGGTGGAGGACCACCTTCTCCCTCGGCGAGTTCATTGTTTATCGGAGGGACGGGATTTTGCTACCGAATTAAAAAAGCGGTCAAGAAATGGAAAGGTAAGAGAGAGAGACAGAATTAATCACTTACATTTAGGTTGCCCTTCAAGTAGCTGCCCTTCTCTCCTCTGGCCAGCTTCTCCAGGTACTGGTTGTAGCCCTGTCGAATGGCCAGTCCACCGGCGATGGCGCCGGCGCCCCAGGCCCACTTGCTTTGGAGAACCTTGCCGGACGTTCGGGCCAGGCGCTGCCAGACGGTCCGGCTGCGGATCAGAAAAAGAAAATAGAACCCATTTCAACTCATTAAAAAGGCTCACTGCACTTACAGCTCAAAGGCAGCCATCTTCACATCGGCCTGGGCCTGCTTCAGGCTCACCGTTGAGCCGCCGCCGCCGCCCCTTTTGAGCTCCGCCTCCACCTCCAGTGCCTCCTTGTAGAGGGCCGCCTTCTTCCGCAGGACGGACAGCTTTGGATCACCGTCATCGGCGATGATCTTCTTGAGGACGGCCAGCTTCTCCGCGGTGGAGGAGGGCCCAAAGAGGATGAGCTTGACGTTCTTCCGTGGTTGCACTTTTTGTCCTGGTGGTGGATTCTTTTTTTGAGGGTCGAACCAGAGATCATCGTTTTGGTCTACCATTTCAGGAGCAGTTACTATTACTTCAGCTTGAGCTTCTTCTTTACTTTCATTTGGGCTATCATTTGTGGGAGGCACCGAGGGCGGCACACTACCACCACCACCTTCCACCACCTCCACCACCTTTTCCTCAGCGCCTGAATGGACGCGGTTTTTGATCATCAACTTTTTGTGCGACTTTAAGAGCTGCTTGGAGTGCTTCACTGAAGAAGTGAAAGAAGTGCCGGCAAAAAGAAGCAATGAAAGCAGCAGCACACAGAGGACTGTCGGTTGAGCAAGTGACAGAAACATCGTGGCAATTAGTGTGGCAACAGCTAAATGGTAAACGCAAGTGCTTCAACAGCTGAAAACGGTGGCGGTAAACTTCTTTTCAGCTCAACAGAGTGTCTGGAAGAAAAAAAGAGGAAGGTAGTTGTTTAGAATAAAATAAATCAACTCACCCAAATGACGACACTTTAGTAGATTTGTGAAGTGCGCGCGCAGAGAAGGAAAACTATTCGAACTTTAAGTTAGTTAGTTATAAACAATGCAACAAAACCAATCTCAGAATTCCAAAAGCAAGAATTTAGAAAACACCGATTCAAAAAAGAAAGTTCCACATTTTGCCACCAGAAACCGCCTTCTACTCAATAGTTTAATTTGGTACAATTTGGTACCCTTGTTGTTATTCATCGGCCAGTTTTTTAATCTAGGCAATGAAGTGTGCCACATTGAGGAAAGAGGCACCACCTCCGGAGCAGTCCTCACCAATGGGAGTGTCAGTGTCATAAAAACCGGTAGTGATTCCAAACTGCAGAAAAGCTGTTGTTTCCTCTTCCTCGCCATCAACTGGGCACAGTAGTGGTCCACCTAGTGGGTGGTGGTGGTAAATAGAGGTGGTACATAAAGAAACGTTTTAACACAAACAAAAATCGCCATTTCGAATGCATGCCTCCTCCTCCTGACCTCACCTGAATCACCAAAGCAGGTGGTAGGCTCATCCACCTCGTAGTACATGCCCTCGTCACTTGCTTCATGTCCACCAGTTCTTCTCTCCACCGCCTTTGTCACCGTCTTTTCTCGCAAATGAGTTGCATCCTTGCCACCTTCTACCCGTCCCCAGCCGATGACCACGCACTGGGTGTTGACTGGATGATCTCGACGCGGTGGCAGGCACACAGGGGATGCCTAAAGCAAAGAAGTAGAAAACAGAGAACAGAAAGTTTAGTGCAAAAAACTTTAAAAAAACAGTTGTACAGCAGTATAATTACCACATGGCTGCCCAGTTTTTCAAAGTCAATTGGCGTTGTCAGCTTGAGTATTGCAATATCAGTCGTCGGTCGGGTAGTGCTCTGGTAGTGGGGATGTTGAACCATCTTGCCCACCTGGTAGCAGAAGCCCTCTCGATCCCAGTTGGTCCCTTGTTTACCACTACCGCCAACTTGCTGGTGTCTTCATCCTTAAGACAGTGTGCCGCCGTCAGGATGGTGTTATCGTTGATTATTGTGCCCGCACAGAAGTGATAACCGGGTTGCGTGTCACCACAGGGCCTATCACCAGATTGCAGTGAAACTATGAACGGGTATTTGCCCTCGGGCACTTCGTGACCGTTGATTATACCGAGGATGCTCCTCTCCTGCTTATTTTCGGTCATTTGGTCATTGCTGCTAATGTTGTTGTTGTTGTTGTTGAAGTTGGCTGTTTGAGAATGGACGGTGAGTGGTAAAGCAAGGAGGACACATCGAAGGAACACAGCGATTGACGACAGATGCATTGTACTGCACCTTTTTTGTTATTTTGAGTCTTTCTACACTGATTTGGTAATGGTTTATGTTTGTATAGAAAGAGGTGTGCTGAATAAGGTGTCCGACTGTAATTCGAACAAAAGAATTAAACGTGTTTCACATTTTAATGATCAGCTTTTTGATCAACTCCCAGAACTGACATTCAAGTGTAATGCTGTGAGTGGTGCAGACTATAAATGTTGTGTTAAAGTAGCGACGAAAAATGTCAAAAGTTAGCTTATAAAGTTCACTTGAATATGTCACATTACGTTAATTTGTAAAACAGTACTCTCTCTCTCTCTCTCTCTCTCTCTCTCTCTCTCTCTCTCTCTCTCTCTATTCATCAGTAAGTTTTTAAACAATTCCAGGCAATGAGGCTAGATGTTCCACAAGTTGAGGAAAGATGAACTACCGCCTTTTCATTCCTGACCAAGAGCGGTCAATTGGGGGATACACATCCGTCGAAAATGATTCTAAATAGGTACGAGCACGAGCAAAGTTTGCAATTTTCGCAAAACATGTTTTTAATGTTGCCCAAGAAGTTTAAACAAAACACCAGAAAGTTAATATCTCATCAGTTTGAGAGAGAGTGAGAGAGATTAAGGCAAATGTGGACAAAATTGGAGAAAAAGAAGAGAAAGTACAGTTGAATAGGGAAAAATATAGGAGCAAATCTGAGAATTAGAGTGAAAGTGAGAGAGGGGGCACACACATTCCAGTTGACACCAGTCAGAAAAGAGTTAACACAAACAACACAGCTCTCCTCTCTACAACAATTTAACGTCGCTCATTCACAAAGTATCGCTTACCGGCCTTCCTCTTGAAGACCACTGCCATTCGATGGCTGGGCACTCCGTCGGGCAGGATGCCGGCCAGTTCCTCTTCTTGTCGACGCCCTCCTCCCTGATCACCGCCTGGGCCGCCGCTGCCATGAGCACTGGTGCTGCGGTGCAGAAAGTGTCGCTTCCCATTGACCATCACCAGGCGGACGAGCGACTCAAAGAGCGCAAAGACGGCCGACTCACCATCACCATCACCACCACGACCACGAC